AGATTTTCCTCCGTTGTATCTTTTCCCCCATTCAATGTCAAGGTGATAAGGACTGTCTTGCTAGCAAATTGTTCTTTATGAGGCCATGTTTACCTGCCTGAACCAATAATCATGTTGCTGTAGATGTAAAGATTCATGAGACATGCTTTAGATAACCATGAAAAGTCATAAAAGATAATTTACTAATTTTGTAGTTATCTTCTCTTCACCTGTCGCTGAACTTACACCTACTGCATATTTTTTGCTTCTTCTTGCCTAGGGCTGATACCTTTATCCTTTTATTCACCCGAATCTTCGGTATGATTTCCAACATTTGAAACTGCCCCCTTTGCTCTCTTCACTGTGCTTGAAATCTCCCGCTGTTGTCATGGGCCGAATGGTGTCCCCTAAAAAGCTACGTTGAAGCCCTAACTCCCAGTACCTGTGAATGTGACCTTACTTGGAAGGAGGGTCTTTGCACTTGTAATCAAGTTAAAATGAGGTCATGCTGGATTAGGATAGGCCTAACCCAGAGACTGGTGTCTTTATGAGGGAAGAGAGTGATCTGGACACAGAGACACCAGGGAGAATGCCAGACGACAGCAGAGGCAGAGACTGGACCGAAGCTTCTACAAACAAAAAAGCTTCAAGGATTGCTGGCAGCCACCAGAAGCTGGAAGAAGCAAGGAGGGATCCTCCGGGAGAGCATCAGAGGGAGCATGGCCCTGCTGACACCTTGAACGTGGAGCTTGGGCCTCCAGAACCACGAGAGAATAGATGTGTGTTGTTTTAAGCCACCCCCGAGTGTGGTCATTATAATAGCTCTGGGAAACTAATACGATTAATTGATTAACTAGTAAACTAACCTAACATACAACACAAATGGTTTCTAGATACTTCGATACACCCTGCCCCAGTTCTCCGAACCACACCTGACTTTCCAGACTTAGCACAAGACCTGCTGTTTTCCTGACAGTCATCCAAATTTTCCTAGGATTCTGGACAACCAGGGATTTGTCGGCTTGAATCATTCCCTAGGTCCCTCAAACATAGATAAGAATGGTGATCCCAAGCTTGTGCCACCTTTTCTTGGCAGTGGGAAAATATATCCCCTCTTGACCACCATCAGGGGGTGGGGACCATGCCCCAGGGCCAGGAAGCAGCATTTTGCAGAGGGTCCCGGGGCTGCAAGGTAGCCTTCCTTGTGACCTGCTCCTCCAGTGCCCTCAGAGCCTGTGGTTCTGTTGTCCCTCCCTCCTGTGGCACAATGCCGTGGCTTCCTCACAAGTCCACAGACAGAGGACAGGGTGGAGTGGAAAGGTTGGGGAGAATCCTTGCAGAAGCGCTGGGGGTTGTGGCCCGGGGAGGCTGGCTGCTGCTGGGCAAAGCAACCTAGGAGTGGCAGCAGGCCTTGTGTGAAGTGGGCCAGGAAGAGGTGCTGCGTGCTATGTCAGGGTGATGATTGAGGGACAGGGAGCTCTCAGGAATTGTTGGGGGAAAATCCTGCATCTCACACTGTGTTCACGGTTTTTCTCTCCCTCGCATTAATACAATCTACTCTTGGCTTGAAACCATCATTATTGAAATAAAGAGTGCTGGGATGCAGAGCAGAAAGAATGAGTTTGAGTCTAACTACTCTGAGCTTTAGAGATTCTCACTAGAAAATGATCATCGACCTGCTCTTTCTGCCTCCAGAAACTGTGCGGGCGAAACCAGACACCGCAGGTGAAAAATGCTCTGTAGGTGTAGGATGCTATACGCAGGTTCACTGTTATTTCTGATCAGTGTTGCTATCCATCTGTTAATTAGTAGAAGCTCCTCAAAAGCAGGTATAATTTGCTCGGGGTGCAGTGCAGGGCCTGGCACTCAATACAGAGAGAGGATGCTGCACAAATGAGTGAATTTCGCTCAAGGATCAACTTCCCTGACTCCCATCACACAGCCTCTCATCATGCCTACCAGCTAAACCTTCTCTTTCTACACTTGGCCCCTCTCCTCAGGGCCTGGCCCTTCTCAGGAACCTTTGCCCTGGATGAAGTCCGGCCCTCTGAGGACAGCAATGCAGGACGTTTGCCCACTAAAGGACCTTGGGCAAACCTCACCGTCCTCCTCTTCATTTTATTCGCCCATTCCATGAGGGGACAGGCAGAAATGCCAGCCCAGGGTGAGGGCTGGTGTAGGCAATGTCAGGGAATATTCATTCTTCCAGACAGATGCTTCAGAGTTTCTGACCTCGTCGTGGGCCAATCAGTGTTTTCTAGTTCCCTGGGGCGTCAACTCTCTATAGGCATCTTGCCAACTGGCCCCATGTGGCAAATAAAAAGCATGTGTGCAATCCTGGCCTGATTCTTCCAGCTACCCTGGCTTTGTTAAGGTAGAACAATGGGATAACAATGCCAAGTTGTAAGATCTCAATCGAAAAATGCAACATCCTACCAGCCATGCACTGTAGTTGAATTAACGCATATATATTTATGTAAAACTTCATAAAATCTGCATGATCCCTTCACACACACACACACACGCATATCCCTCACCTCAATATCGAGCCTCCCACCTCCATCTACTCTTGTTCATATCTTTATGCCAAGAGAATTCCATATGTGGGAACAGAACCTTCTACTCGAGTCACCAGACCAGCTCTGAGATACTGTGTTACTTTAAACAGGTCACTTTACCTCTCTGAACTTCAGTTTCCACCTATAAATTCCATCTATAAATCTATGATTTTCCATCTGTATGTTGAGAGTAATTAGACCTAACTCAGAGGATGGTTAAACATGTGTTACAGATGCAAAAAGCATAGTAAAAATATATCACCACTATCATTTGCCTCTTTCAAGCATATTCATAATTCTCTTAAAACCTGGTGATTTTTATGAAAGCCAAATAAGATGAGGTAAGTAAAGAAACCATGAAAGGAATAGCTGTACCATCACAAGATGTCTCTCTCAAGCTCCACATGGAAATAAACAAAACGATCTTGTATGTTCTACTTCAGACCCTGACACGGCTCAAACATGGCTCCAGCTTGGAGTAGAAGCAGATGCTACATCCCCAGAGCCAAGACCACCCAGAAGAAGACCTGGACACAAGGGAGGAGGAGAAGATGAGGAGAAGGGCACTCCAGAAGCCTCCAGGTCCCTTGGGAGGGAGAGAAAAGCCCTCTCAAGATAGAGGACTGGATGGTTGAGAATGTCCTCTGACCTCCCTACAGCACTGCTTGTGAGGTGGGCCTGGAGGGACACCGGGTGGCTAGGTAGGTGCCAGGCTAGACAGACTCCTTCAGGATGCCATAACCACTGACCAATCCTGGCTTCTCCACCAACCAGTTTATACTGAGCTCTCTAACCCAGGGTCTATGTGCTGCCAGACTGAGCTGAAAGTTGTTTCATTTGGCTCATCTCCCCGCTCCCACTCACCCTCCCCACTGTATTCTGGTCTGTTTCACACATGGTAACTCCTGTGGGTTGACTTCCTCAACCTCCATTCCTACCCTATTCTAATGCGTCTTCCTGCAGTTCCCTGCGGGAAAGGAGCTGGAAAGCTACAGTTTATGTATCCCACACTTCCTGGCTAGGCTTCAGGGTGAGACTTGGTACCGACACATCAGATGGGGGCGCAGGCACTCGGATTCTGAATGGAGTTACATGGAGAGAAGGTACACCTTCTCGCAAGTACCAAGCGAAGCAAAGGTGGCACGTGGCTCTGGCTGAGGCAGCATCTTCCTGGTCAGGAGAAAGGCATCAGCCTCCTCGGCAGCCTGACTCCGTGGGATGATTTTGGACATTGTTCCTGTGAGATTATTGTGTAGCCTTCCTTCGTCTGTCCCCAAATTCTGAAGGCAAGCTCTATCCCTATGTAAATATCGTTCTGCTTAGACGGGGTAGATTCTGTCACCTGCAACTGAGAGTCTGGACAGACGCAGCCATTGACATTTTGCCGTTCCCTGAGATAAAACACTCCCTTCAGCGTACCAGGAATCTGTTGCTTAGAGAACCATCCTAGGAATGTTTTTGTGAAGTGAATTTCTTATAACCTGGCATCAGCAGGTGGATACATTCTGACATGTCTAGTGCCCAATGTAAATAAATATAACCAAGCCTTCACAAAAAAGAAAAAAGCATCATTTTGCCTCGGCCCTAAGCCCTCCATAGCTTAATTGACGGAGGCAAGTTGGAAGGGAAAAGACCACCAAAGGGAAGGGTTACAGAAAAGTGGCATCTGAAAAGGCCAGTTTCCATTCACCTTTGACATTAGGTAGTCATTCCGGCTCGACACGTGTATATTCACCACCTTTTACAAATGAAAACTTGCAATTCTCATGGGGAGGAGGTTGCAAATCCTCTCATTCTCTCATTTCAAACATCATCTGCGTTTGGGTTGTTTCCAGAGCTAACACCATTCTTAGGATCATCTACATTATTTCTATTAGGTACATAAATATAACTTCTTCCATGAATACCAACCACAGCGGGGGGGGGGGGGGGCGGAGAGAGAAAAAAAAAACAAGTGATACTAAATAATTTTGGTAAGATTCTTCTTTGGTATTTTTAGGAAAAGACATTTTGAATTTTTAAGTTGTGTGAGACAGCCTGTTGTCGGGCAGGGAAGAGAGCCTGTTTGTATGAGAGTCATCTCTGCATGGAAAACAGGGTTTCTATCCCGGGCCTGGCCGCATCTACCCTGGCAACGCTGACGCACAGAATGTTATTGGAATTGGAAAAGGTAACTTGGGGAAACTCAGTGCTGGCATCTCCGAACCATGAGAACGATTGGCCCATCAGGCTGCCTTCGCATCCATGCCCAAGGCTCCTCACGAAGCTGAAGCCACATTAGAAAAGATGAGGTAACTATGGGATTGGGCACAGAGACATGTCTTTTCAGTATGAATAAAAAGGGAAAAAATAATGGCTTCCTCCCTGAAAACTTAACTGGTCTTATGGATTGAAAATGGGACCAAATTCTGCTGACCGTTAGGAATTTCGTCTTAAAAATTGCCAAGCCACTAACAATCATAACAGAAAATTACCATATGGAAAAGTTATCAACATGTCCTTTTTGGAAGCAGAAAATCACTGCAATGTTTTTAAGCATCAAAAAAAAAAAAAATCCATTCAACATGTTTCTGGGCATTTTTCCTCCCATTGGGGTGAGAACAGCATTCCCATTAACAGCAGAGTGAACTATTCATGTTCTCAGAAGTGGCAATGGGCTAATTGCAGATGAAGGACATAAATTCTGCTCAAGAGCCCAGGCACGGCTCCCACACCCACACAGCGGCCCGCTCCTTTGGTTCAGGCACTCAGATGGAAGCATTACTTTTTTATTCCGGAAGCCCTAGTGGGTAGCCCAGGCCCCACACACCAAGGGTCTGGATAACTATTATTTTCCAGCACTTACAGCCACCTTCTCCTAGATCCAACTGTGAGGGAGTGGGAGGTGCAGGCCGTGGTGCACTGTGTGTCAGGATTTAAGGCAAACTTTATTTTTTTTTAATTGGCCTTCTCTCTTCTTTCTATGGCTACAGCACACTGCAGATCGCTTTGATCTATCTTTTCAACCATCATAGATTGAGAGTCGAGGTGTGACACTTACTAATTGCCGACCGGGCCGTCGGTCAGAAGAGCGAGACAGGAGAGGGCCATAGTGGGGTTCCAAGTGGAAAAGCTCTCCAGCTCGCAGCTTGGAAGAGAGGGCAGGTAACTGATGGCTGCTGGGAAAGTCCTGCCCCCAAAGTGAGGGTCCCAACCCCAGGTACCTGCTGGGGACTGCTGTGCTTGGAGCCAAGAACAAAGCCTGGGCTGCAGTTCAGCCAAGAACACCTCCTCCCAGGGCCGGGACCCCCTGTCTTCCCTGCAGCCCACACAAACCTCTGGCATTCTAGGTCAGTGATTCCTTTAGCGTAGTGCTCGAGGATTCTCTGAGCTGAACACAGGATGCTCTCGCCCTTTATTTCTTTCTGGTGAGAATTCAGCATCCATTTTATGAACAAAAGGAGGAAGGGGGAGGAGAGGGGAAGGAAGGAGAGTGGAGAGAAGGAAAAGGCCCAGAACTAGATTCTCCATGATTGCTTTGGATGAAAGAGTAATCCTATTCTTGGGAGCAGGGGATCAAAATTGTGCCCGGGTCCAAAAAAAAAAATTGAAATCATTTGTTGCTGTTACGGGAATATTAAACACACATCCCCACGATGAAACCAGTGTCTTCTGGGATAGGAGCCAGAAGCCATTCCCTTCTCAGATACCTCCTGATACCTCACTCGGGAGAAACGTCCAACCCTACTCCCTGCTTCCCCCCCGCCACTAGCACCTGTCCTCTTGGTCAGTGACCCAGCTAGGTGCCACTGAACTGTACACTTAAAAATGGTTAAAATGGGGGGCGCCTGGGTGGCTCAGTTGGTTAAGCAACTGCCTTCGGCTCAGGCCATGATCCTGGAGTCCCTGGATCGAGTCCCACATCGGGCTCCCTGCTCGGCGGGGAGCCTGCTTCTCCCTCTGACCCTCCCCCATCTCATGAGCTCTCTCTCTCTCTCATTCTGTCTCAAATAAATAAATAAAATCTTTAAAAAAAATGGTTAAAATGGTATGCTTTACGTTATGCATATTTTACATGATAATATATATATGCAACTGCCTGATGCCCTTTGCATTTGGATTTGGGTGGTAAGAAATCTTTAGCTAGGTTACTGACCAAGAGGAATGGAAGAATGCAGGAAGCCAGAGGACTGACAACCAGCCAAAGGGGCCACCCCCCACACAGAGTATAAAGGAAGAGCCTCCCCACCCTCTCTTTTACAGACTCAGAGAAGTAAAGTCACCTACCCAGGTGAGCCAGGTACTAAGTAGTAATAGGGTGACAATAGGACCTGAAGCCAGGTTGGCCTGCTTCTAAAGCTCTTGATCCTGCCACAAGCTATACTTGTCCTCTCTTATAAAATATATCACCCCTTCTGAGTCTTCCTGCAAAAGGTACCCACTCCCCACCATTTGCATCATCTCCCTAAGGGCTTCCTGAATTGAAGTGCATTTTTGCTCGATCAGTAGTCTATGGGACTACAGGCCCCAAGTTGTACAGTGCACAGCCTGCACAGCTGAATGCCGGACCTCTTGTGAACACTTCATGTTACTTGAGAAAGGTAATATAATAGATCACCAGCATGTTAACACCAACATGTTCATTTACTGCAGATCGGTCTCTGGTAGAAAACAGGGCCTGCTTTAAATGGCTTAGACACAGGACAGGCAAGCTTGGATGACAAGGGTCAGGAAGAAGATTTGAGGAGACGCCCAAACAAGTGTGTCCATGCAGACATGCCGCCCGGTAGTGGAATGCTCCCGGGTATCTGCGCCTGTACTTAGATTTTTTTTTTTAAAGATTTTATTTATTTGTCAGAGAGAGCGCACAAACAGGGGGAGCGGCGGGCAGAGGGAGAAGCAGGCTCTCTGCTGAGCAAGGAGCCCGATGTGGGGCTCGATCCCAGGACCCTGGGATCATGACCTGAGCCGAAGGCAGACGCTTAACGACTGAGCCACCCAGGCGCCCCGCCTGTACTTGGATTTGACATGAAATGCCCCAAGTGTCCTCTTGTGCCCCTCTGCCCTACCCACGCCCTCCACTTGCTTTTCTTTTGCTCAATAACCAAAGCAGAATGTAAGTGCTGCTTCAGGGATTTCTGAGTGCAGTCATTTGATTTCAACACAATTTCCAAAAATTCACAATCTGCCTCTACCAAAATCCTAGCATTAGCACATCCGCACCTGGACAGCCTCTGTGGTGCCGAATGATCCTAGTGGTGACCTCTGTGGAACCAGACATGAAGGGGGCATGGCTGGACCACAGCTCCTCTTAAAAGGAAAACGTACCTCCCTGGAGACAAATAAGGGAATAGATGCTGTGCAGAGGTTCACGGGCTGGAAGGATAAGGCGGGCTGATGCTCTCAACCCCCCAACCACAGGGGCATGAGAAGGAGAAAGGAATGAGCAGTCTGGGGTGGGAAAGCTGTCCCTGAAGGAATCAGGGACCAGAACTCGGGGACAGGGGTGGAGACTAAGCCTTGTACATCTCATGACACCTCCTGGTCTACTGTGAACATGGAGGATGACACTGGGAGCACCACTTAGCCTCCCTGAGCCAGTGGCCTCATCAGCAAAATGGGGCAGTATGTGCCTCACGAGGTTGTTCAGTGAATGTATGAAACGCCTGGCATATAGTAAAAACTCAGTAGTTCTTTTTTTATATTTAAATTCAATTAGCCAACATACAGTACATCATCAGTTTCAGATGTACAACAATTCATCACTTGCATTTAACACCCAAGGCTCATCACATTCCATGCTCTCCTTAATGTCCATCACCCAGTTACCCCGTCCCCCCACCCACCCACCTCCCCTCCTGCAACCCTCAGTTTGTTTCCCAGAGTTAAGAGTCTCTCATGGTTTGTCTCCCTTTCTCATGACTTGCCCTTCAGTTTTCCCCTCCCTTCCCCTATGATCCTCTGCGCTGCTTCCACATATGAGGGAAAACATATGATAATTGTCTTTCTCTGATTCACTTATTTCGCTCAGCATAGTTCTTAAAACGGGCTCCAGGTCTCCTTCACACAACTAATAATCATGTGTGTATGCTCTATAGAGGGAGTCAGCCTGTGTCACATCCGCCCCTAGGATGCTAGAAGAGGATGTTTGAACTGAGCAAACTCTAGAATCCTCTACTCAGTGTCCGGGATATTAAATGTCAGCTCCGGTCCATTCAGAAGCCCCTGAGAGAACACTGACTTTTCCCTTCTTCTTCCAACAGGGCATTGACTCATGCATGAGATGTCCTTTCTGCTAACCGGCTTGGGAAAGCGAGAACAGTCGATACTTTTTTTTTTTTTTTTTAAGAAGTTGTTAAATAAAATGTTTCACTCTGAGACACAGTATAGCTTACAACCCAAAGCATGTGAGGTTTAAGACCAGGCATTTAAGTCGAAGGTACAGCGGGGAAAGGCTGGGGATTTTGTACGTGTTGGATGCCATTCTCCCACTGCTCACGTTAGGACTCAGGAAGTTCCCTTTGCCAAGTGCACAAATGGGGTGTATGAGGTTGGAGTTACCCACCTGGGAGCCATTGGCTGATGGGGTGGACAGGACTGGGAGCCATGAGGCTGTGTGGTAATCAGAGGGGAGATGTGAGGACCAAGCCGAGCAAGCAGAGTTGGTTTCTGTTCCTATATCCGAAATAACCTTAAATTGATGCACTAACGTTAAGGCTCCAGGCCATATAAGTTGAAGAAAGAATACATTCAATTATATACATAAAATGATATATCCATAAAATATACATATGCATATTCAGATACAAATACGTATATGTATATAGAGAGAAAGAGAGGTGAGGAGACATAAGCATAACAAATAACAGTGAGGAAGGAAAGATCACCTCTGGCAGAGGGATGCTGGGGCAACTTCTTGGGACTGGTAGCGTATGAGCAAGGCCTTGGGGGACCCAAAGGATTTCAGCAGACAGCAGGAAGGGAAAAGCAGAAGCAAAAATTTGATGTTGGGAGAGCGTAAGTCACATACAAAGAATGCACTGTAGGAGTCATGGAAAACAGACCAGAAAGCTAGGTGATGGTCAGATGAAGATGAATCCCGAGAACACCAAGCAGTGTGGATTTGGTCTGGCCGCCACTGGAAAAGCTCCTAAACTGAGACCAGGGTGGTTATAGAGTCAGAGCCATGTGATAGCACAGCTACCAGCAGGGCTTCTAATCACTGTCAGGGAGTTATGGGGGAGCAGTAGGGAGGTGAGGGGCAGTCGGGAGGGCTCCAGACAGTGGCTTTTTACCAATCAGCACAGAAATCTTTCAGTGCATCAACCACTGATCTGGCCGTACCAGTGGACACTGGTCAATATCAGGCCTGTCAGCGGGCTCTCTAAACCCAGCCCCTTGGGCATATGTTTCAATTTCCCCAAGATGACCTGTTTCATTAATGAATGGAAGCCTTTCTTCCCAGGCCCTTGGGTTTCATCTTCTTTTGTTCAGCTCTCTTGTGAAATCTCCTTAATGAAGTTCATAGCAGGGAGTTGTGAAGTCCTTCCTTAGGTTGCAATTCTGCCTTCTTTTGCTTCCATAGTTCATATCCTGTGGTTGGGTATGGCCAGTGGGAATGCTAGTGACCATCCCTAGTTAGGGCTGAACTACAGAAGAGGGAGACCATGGAACGGGAAGGAAGACATGAGTGCAAGCAACATTAGGGAGCAAGGATCCAATAGGATTTGGACCGAATGACAAGGGAAGACGAGGGGGAGAGAGAGAGAGCATTTCAAGGCACAGTTCAGCTATCAAGCTCAGGTAACTGGAGTAAAAGGAGCAGCATTAATAGGATTAGGGAAAATGGGAGAATGAGCTGGGGTAGGGGGAAAAGGAAAAGGGAGATATCAAATTATTTTTAAACAAGTTAAGTTGGAGGCATCCAAATGGAAATACCAGCGGGCAGTTGGGAATGTGGAAGAGAGGTGGGAGAAGCTGTCAGAACCAGAGAGAAAGATTTGAAAGACATTGGAATGAAAACCACAGGACTGGATTTGCACAGGAAAGAAGAAGCTGAGCAAGAGGCTGAAGATAGAACCTTGGGGAACCTGCTCACTTACGAGGCAGCAGGAAGAAGTGAAGGAAGAAGGAAGAAGAAGGGGCATGGTGAGGTGAAGAGGTAGGTAGAGTCTTGGCATGAAGGAAGTATGATGCTGAATGAATGACCGAGGCACCCAAAAAGAAGAACTGGATGGATATAATGTCCTTAATGGTTTTTGTTTGATTTTTGTTAATTTTATTCAGACATAACTCACATATAATTAACCCATCTGCAGTACACTATTCAGCGGTTTCTAGTGTATTCCCAGAGTTATACAATCATCACCACAACCAATTTTGGACTCCAAAAAACCCTATACTCTTTATCCATCACATCCCAAAACACCATGCTCCCCATTGTAGGCAACTATAATCTATTTTCTGTTTCTATAGATTTGCCTCTTCTAGGCTTTCATATAAATGAAATCTTCAGTTACTGGTCTTTTCTGACTGCCTTCTTTCATTCACATAATGTCTTCAAAGTTCAACCATGTTGTAGCATGTATCAGTACTTCATTCCTTGTTATGGCCAAATAATATTCCATCGTGTGAATGTGCCACATTTTTTTGTAGTCCATTCATCAGTTGATGGACATTTGTGTTGTTCCCAATTTTGGCTCTTACGAATCATGCCACTACCAACATTCCTGTACAAGTTTTTGTGTGCACATTTGTTTTCATTTATCTTGGGTATATACTTAGCAGTGGAATTGCTGGATCAAATGATAACTCTATTTTTAACTTTTTTAAGGAACTGCTAGTCTGTTTTCCAAAGTGACTGCACCATTTTACATTCCCACCCACCAGCAGTATATAAAGGATTCCAATTTCTCCACATCCTCACCAACACTTGTTATTTTCATTTTTTTGTTTTGCTTTGTTTTTTTTTTAAATACTAGCCGACCTAGTGAATGTGATGTGGTATCTCATTGTGGCTTTAATTTGCATTTTCTTAATGAAGAAATTATGTTGAGTATCTTATTGTATACTTACTGGCCATGCGTATGTCTTCTTTGGAGAAGAATCTATTCAGATCCTTTGCCTATTTTTTAAATTGGGCTACTTGTCTTCTATTATTGAGTTTTAGGAGTTCTTTAATATTCCAGATACAAGTCCCGTACCAGATATAGACTTGCAAATAATTTCTCCCATTCTGTGGGATGTCTTTTCACTTTCTTGATGGTGTCATCACAAGTTTTTGTTTTTGATGAAGCTCCATTGGTCTATTTTCACCCTTTGGTTGCTTGCACTTTTGCTGTCATATGTTAAGAATCCTTTGCCAAATCCAAGGTCATGAAGATTTACTGCTATGTTTTCTTCTAAGAGTTTTATAGTTTTAACTTTTACCTTTATGTATTTGATCCATTTTGAGTTAATATTTTATACAGTGTGAGGTAGGGGTCCAACTTCATCCTTTTGTGTGTTGATATCCCATTGTCTCAGTGCCATCTGCTGAGAAAACTACTCTTTTCCAATTGAATTATCTTGGCATCCTCCTCAAAATCAATTGCCCATAGATGTGAGGGCTTATTTATAAACTCTCAATTCTATTTTCTTAATGTTTTATGCTTGCCATCCTTGCACTAGTGAATATTTTTGTTTTTATGGTAGAGTACGAATATCTACTTCTTGACCTGTTGACCCAGGTCAGTGTCATTTCCCTTAGACAACTAGCTACCCTGCATCCAAACAATGCCTACCAAACCTACCTTGACAGCAGAAGTCACCAGGTTTTGGTTCAGTGCTATGTTTTACCCTTGGCCAAACCCTTGACCAAACTATGTTTTACCCTTAGCCAAACTCTGATGAAGAGCTAAATGAGAACAAGGTAAAAGATAGGATGATAATATTTTACAGCAGTTCATTTCCATGGAGCAGGGCAAGTGGGGAGGAGGGAGGGAGAGAGGGAGAGCAAGAGAGAGGAAAAGGACTAGAAGGCACTGAGAAAAGGAGAAGGAATAAAGGATAGGACAATGGGGAAAACAATTGAGGAAGAGAGCTTATTAAAGTTCTTGTCAATCACTTGGCTGAGGTGTGCCCACAAGCCAGCATTAGAGCGGGTGGTCAAAGTGCAGCCGTGGGCAGGAGACAGACTCTGCTCCCTGCTAGCAGCATTACCTGTGCAAGTAACTTAACCCCCTTTAGGCCCCCATCCTCTCATCTCTCTGTTGAAGGGGATAGTAAGGAAACTGCTCTCAGAGGGAACCTGCGAAGATTAATCAAATTCATGCATGCTTCTCTTAGCCTAGGACCCAGCACAGGAGAAGTAACATGAGCTCAAAACTCATGCTACTTTAGCATGAAAGTTGAAGCGTCCCCAGCTTATATCGTCACCAACCGCCTAAATCAGTGGTTCTCAAACTGTATGTATATTAGAATCTCCTGAAAGGCCTGTTAACAATTTGCTGGTGCTCATCTCTAGAGTTTCTGATTCAGCAGGTCCAGGCAGGCCTTGAGAATTTCCATCTCTCCAAAGTTTCCAGGTGATGCCAATGCTGTGGGTCTGAAGAACACACATTGAGAACCACTGGTCTGAATGCTTAAGGGTCAAGAAAACAAAATGCTACCCATTGGCATCTAAGATTCTCGAGTGCAAAGACTTTAAATAAAGGCCCTGATAGTCGGTCCCCGACACAGACACTGTGCACCATTTGAACCTCACTAATATCATCAAAAGGAAAAGTGACTTTAATTACAAATTCTGGAATGCAAGAACACAGTGAAGCCCAGCCGCCATTATGAAAGCATCTTTCACTTGAAGGGCAACCCCTCATTTGGAAGGGGGAAGGAAGGAAGGGGTGAAATCGGAAGGAAGAAATCTTGAGTGCCATGTAGCTGCACGTGTGCGCAAAAAAACCCCAAGGAGTCAGGTTGTCTGTATTATAGCGTCCTGCTCACTGGCAATGCAGGTGTGAAACTGGAGCTGTCGAGAAAAGCTTCTTTATCACCAAAACCTCACAACAAAGCACACTAATAAAATAACACTTGCCCATACGGGAAATGTGTAGTCTGCTGCCTTCTTGGGAGGGGCTATAAATAGCTCCTTGGAGAACGTTTTTCCATAATTAGCTTTTCACTTCAAGCGAACTATGTGTAATGAATGATGTTCTTCCTGGGCAAAGTACGTGGTAGGTTATGTATGTGTTAGTATAGAAACAACTATTCAAATAGCATTTGAGCAGAAGTCAGAGAGTTCAAAAAAATAAGACAGAATTGGAAGCCACTTTGGAAAACGAACTGAAAATGCCCATTTAGGGTCTATGTGCTCTTACTAACAGATACATGTAAATGCAGTAAATTGCCTCTTCTTAGTTGTTACATGGGACATGAGCTGAGAACAGCTAAAGACAATGGCCACTTGTGTGTCACCCCAGCTGTCTTTCTGCCCTGTTCTTAAAGCATGCTCCTCGCACTTGTTGGAGAAGCGCATGTCTCAACAGCTTGCCCGTGCCTTCATGAATGCCGCTAGAAGCAAACACCTTACAGAGCTGACGTGATTTCTTCTACGCTGTATGTGCTTTCGTTCTGACTCTCCAATTGCTTTGAAATCCTCTCTGCTAATTGCAGGAGCTGAAAAGCCCCTCCCATCCTTCTGGCACATTTACAGCTCACCCACATTTGCATCCCTAGAACCTTCCTCTCCATCCCCCCCTCCCTCCAGCTCCCAGAACCTGGTACACAAAAGACTTCTCTCTTCCATTCCAATTTTCTCCATGCTTCAAGGCCAGTGTTCCTTCCACATTTCACAGGCTCACCCAAGATGGCTGTTAGTTTAAGGTGGGGTGGTTTAAATATTCCCTGGGAACCCTCACGATTTGAGCTGAGTATTGCCCCAAGAAAACAATCTGGTTGCAACGAGAAAGGCTAACACCCCCAGCCACTACATTAACCAAGAAGGGTGACCAGAGGTACGGGTTTCCTCCCTTGGAGGGCACAGGGGGACCTACACTGGTCCCACTCTCATGGGCCAAGAGAGGGAGGCTTGACCAGCACCCAAACTTTCCTTTTCCCCACAGAAGCTGGCTCTCTTTCCCAACCCATAGCCTAGAGCTGGTTTGAACATCACACGTTTATAAAAGGACACTCCCATCCCACTATCACCAAAGTCCAAACAGTGCCCTTGGCAGGGTGCCAATGTACCAATAACACACATATTGACCCACTGACTTTATTTCCTTCTATGAATTGTCAGGACTGGGAGTTGCTCTTCTGCCAACTCCGATCCTTCATCCTGGAATGCTATTTCGAGCACTTGGAAGATAGCCCCACCTCAAGAATGGAATAAAGGTATTAATAACTAGGGGACCGAGAGGACCAGAGGAAACAGAGACAAGAGGCATGCAGGACGTAGCAGCACATGTGGTTTAGCATCACTTCCTTATCCAGCAAGAGCTCCCGGAAAGTGAACGATGCCTCCAGTAGCTTTGTGTCGCATCCCGCATTGCTGACTGCTGGAGTGGGCGGGAGGGCGCGTGGGCTTGGCCGTCTTTGAGCCAGGATCAGACCCTGCTCTACCACATATGTGCCAAGTGACTGGGGCACCTTGAGCCTCTCTCAGTCAGATTCCCTATCTGTTACCTGGAAATCATAAATCATTTTTTTTTACAGGGCCTTACGAAGACGAAATGAGGTAATGCAAATACCTGGCACGTAAGTATTAGATAAATGTTACCTTCTAGTTCTGCAAACATGATTTACTAAAATATATTTTTTAAAAACCTTCTTATGCAGACAATGGAATATTATTCAGTGCTAAAAAGATGTGAGCTATTGAGCTATGAAAAGACGTGGAGGAAACTCAACTGCTTTTTACTAAGTGAAAGAAGCCAATCTGAAAGGCTACCTACTATGTGATTATATGACATTCTGGAAAAGGCAAAACTATGGAGACAGTAAAAAGATCAGTATCTGTCAGGGGTTAGTGGGGAGAGAAGGATGAATAGGTGGAGCACAGAGGATTTTTAGGGCAGTGAAAAATACTCCTCTGTATGAGACCATAATGGTAGATGCAGGTCATTATACATTTGTTCAAATCCACTGAGTGTACAACTCCAAGAGTGAACCCTGATGTAAACTATGGACTTTGGGTGATAATGATGTGTCAGTGTAGGTTCACTGATTGTAACAAATGTCCCAATCTGTTGGAAGAGGGAGTCGGGCAATATACTTGAACTTGGTACTTTCTGACCAATTTTGTTGTGAACCTAAAACTACTCTAAAAAATTAAGGCTATTTTTTAAAAAGATTCTCTTTAGAAGAGAGATAAATAGGACCTAAAATCAAAATTTATTATTAGAGAAAATGTACATGAAGGGACTTCCTCAAGGGGCTTACCTATAAGGAAAGATTATTCTCAAGTGTCCATACTGTCAATAGTCTTACCATATCTTTTTCGTGTGTGTGTGTGTGATATGTGTGTGTTGTATGTGTGTGTCGTATGTGTGTGTCGTGTGTTCGTATGCATGCACATACACATGTACCATTTCCTCCTGTGGTCCCCAAAAGCAGTGCAATTAACTGGTGGGAACTGGCTGAGGCTTTGGGGCTTTGTCACCTCCAGACTCTTCCAGCCCACATTTCCTCCCCGGGTCCTCCACACCAGCTTTATAAGGAAATCTTACTTATTCTTGGGTTTGCCAACCACATGATCTAATAGGCACAGATGCCAAGTCTTCACCCTACCAGGCGGGCTGCACAAGGCCTTGATTGTCTCCTGGTAGCATCCTCAGGGCCCACAAGAGAGCCTGCTGCAGGGAACGAATCACCACCCTGCACTTTCACCCTGCGAAGCTTCAGCAGAACTGAAGTGTTCAAATTCTCACCTTGATTATTTCAATCACAAGGTGGACATTCTTGAATCTTCCTTCTATAGGTGTCTAGAAGCCCTGGCCTCTGAGTCATTCGATCTCTGGTTACTGGGCTCTGAGCCCTCTTCTTCATCTTCATACTGACCCCACTTGCCCTTCTGTCTCAGTTGCAACACTTCTCTTCCCTAACATGATATTACCCTACTTGACGATGTCTGGTATTGTGTTTTCTTTTTCTTTTTCATCGGAAAGTAAAAACTGCTACTCAGAGTTAAGAATCCATAAAGGGGTTTCTGGGTGTCCAGAAAAGAAAGAAGGCCCTCTATCTTATGATTATTCAGAAAAACTGTGATGATGTCATTTGGCAAAGAACCCTGTCCTTGTTGTCTACCCTCAAGTTTCTGTTTCATTTACTGACTATACATACCTAACGTGGGTCCCAAGCCTTGAGCTAGTGCTGTAATTATTGGAATAGCCCACACATTCTTGCCTGTATGTAGCACCACATATGGACACCTATGGTGTGTGTATTTTGAGAATTTAATTGGATAAATGTTTTAAATTAGGACAGGCCACAGATTCAACTTTTACGATGGAAAAGACTTCCAGTTAGATTACAAAAACTGAATTGTTTCACTGATCTTCAAAGATTGATATAATTGCAACTAAAAAATTTGACCCTCCCCTCCATAAATTTTGATTCTTTGAAAAATATCTGAGGTTCCTGGATACTCTATTGCAGCATTCAATGGGTAAAGCCATGTTCTTTTAAAGGACTAACTACATGAGACTTGAGAATTTCTCTAAATTGGCAATGTAGTTTTGAAATGGCTCTTTTGCTCCATGCTGCCCATTTTGAATAATATGTAGATTATGATCTATTTTGACTTTGTTATCTAGTTGATGAAAAAGCCTAGCATCAATGTCACCTCCTCCAAGAAGCTCACCCCGATTCCTTCCTTTGAACCCGCATGGCATTTTGTTTCTGCCACTAGCCGTATTTGGCCTCATCTATATCCTTGCCTCTACCCTGCAAATCCTTCTTGTATAGAAACTGCCATCAAGCTCCCCTTGCTCCCTCACAGGCCAAGCCTAGCCTGACTCATGGAAGCTGCCAATAAAAGGAAGGAAACTGTCAAATGCATAGAATGAACAGGAGGTAAACTTTCCTCTTTGACTCTCTACATTTTGGGGGAAGGGCACATTCTTCTGAGGCCCCTGCTTGTGCTCTAGTCCTGATTGGGTCCTGTGCTGCAGACTGCACTTCCTGTTCTGCTCAGACAGATGTCCTACCTGGTAGGATTAACACCAGGAGACGAGATGGAGTCTGGAATGAGTGCTACAACTACATATACATCATCTCCATTATTAAGAGACAGAAACCACACATATGGTAGGATATCCTACTGGGCAACAGGTACAAACAGTAGCAAAAACACTGGTTGCACTGCAGAATTATTTGATGCATTATTACTGTAGGTCATTCGTTTCCTAAAAGATCATTTAAGGATTGTTCAACTAGTTCCCAAAAGGGAGGAGGAGGAGGGAGTTGGAATCTTTCAAAGCAAGAAAGGAAGGGAGGTGGCTTTCAAGTCGGCACTGAATCGGGTTAAAAGCACATAACTTTATCCTTTAGTAGATATTAGGACCATGCTTTAAGAGCAGGGCAAAACCTACTTGCCTGAAGAAAAACAAAGAAAAAAAAATTTTTTTTTTTCCTTTTGGAAAGGGAGGACTTCAAAACCATAATGTGCCGAATGCCTCCTTCTCCTTGAAAAGCCCTCCAAGTCAGAAGCAAGCCTAACGGCTTCTCTTAGGATGCTCAAAGTTCCTTGCAGCTGATTATTTTTCAGGAGGAGAATTAGACAAAAATAATACAAGTGGGAAATAAAGAGAATGACCTACTTTACGGGGGGGGGGGGGGGGAAGGAGCTCTGTGTGAGCGTTTTGATCTAATTGACGGTGTGGGGTTGCATGCCCAAATAAGGCGCTGTTGGTCGGGTCTGCGCGGGAGAGGGCCTATCTTGAACTCGAGCGGGGAGAGGATAAAGCATAGGCCCTGGAACTGAGTGGGCAGCGAACCCCAGCACAATGGCCCGACTGGTGTTGAGAGGAAGTGCCCTAGCAGATTCCTTCTGGCCACAAAACCAAGTGTGATAGAAAAAGACTGGCGGGGGCGCCTTCCCTTCCAGGGCTACCTGCTGGAATGTGCGAGGGACCGAGGGACCTCTGAAAAAGGCTGCTGGGTGCACAGCACTGCGCCAGGCGCTGTACTTAGGTGATGTTAGGGAAGAGGTGACCTCTCGGGGGTAGGGGACCTCTCCCCTCCTTTGGGCTTCTCCCCAGGCGCCTCCACGCGGTGGAGAGAAGTCTGCGAGCCCAGGGGAACCTGGTCACTGTTGTGGGACACAGGATCTCCCCTCTTCACCCCTCGCTGTCTCGGAGCCCCGCCGAGTAGGGGCTCAAATCACCGCTCCTGGCTCCGGGGACTATTTATGTGCGTCTGTCTCGGTTCGGCGTTTGCTGCGGGAGCCTTGGTGAAAGCCTCCGTGTTTGCTCGCGCGCGCGCCGCTCCAGCTTCTCCTTTTCTTGGATTCTCGCCTGTCTCCTCCCACAGAGGAAAAAAAAAAAAGGTCACGTATGTTTGGAAAAATATGTAGGTCAGTGGAACATTTCCTGCACTGGTGCAAAAGGAGTGGAGGGCAGCGGGGGAGGGGAGGGAAAAGCAGAGCGGAGCTCCGAGGGCGCGCTCCTGGCCATAGCCCCCCACCCCACGTGCTTCTGCCTGGGGCGCGGGGGGGGTCAATTAGCCGGTTCCTTTCCATCCTTGACCCATTTTCCGGACCGGCTATGTTCGCCTTGGAAGCAACACCGTTTATTCCTCCCCAGCAGGCGCTGCGGCCCTCCCCGCAACAGCGCTCGCCAGCTTTCTCCCCCAACCCCAGTGTCCCAACTGCCCCCTCCCTCCCCGCCCGGCCGCCACCGCTCATTGAGAAATCGCAGTGGTCCGAGCGCAGAGACGCGCCCTGTGTCCGGCCTCTGTCTCCGCGCGCAGACCTGCCCCGCTAGGACGGCGTGGAGGGGACGACAGTCGTGTGCTCGTCCCCCTCTCGCCCCATCGCACGGGACAGCGGGGTGGCAGCGGGCACGGTGAGGGTGTCTGCACTAGGCAGGGGAGGAAGATTCCCTGCCACCCCCGGCGACAACTTTAACGGGACTTCGGCTGGCAGCCCCGCGTCCGCCTACCTCCCCTCTCGGCCCGTTCACCTCTAAGCACACACCCCCCCCACCCTCACCCCGCGTCCAGTCCTGACCCCGCACCCCAGGCCGGACTTCGCCGCGCGTCCCTGGCAGCCCAGCAGAGGCGGCGACGGCTTCGGGCGCGCGGATGTCTGCGTCGCCCAGAGGAGCTGGGGGTCCGGGGCGGGGGGTCGCAGGATGCGAGTCCTAGGCTGGGTCGGGGCCAAGGCCCGGCGTGCGACCAGAAGAGACCCGGCAGCGGGAGTGGAGGGAAGGAGGAGGAGGAGAGGGAGGAGGAGGAGGAGGAGGAGGAGGAGGGAGGAGGGAGGCGGGAGGAGGGAGGGGGAGGAGGAAGAGGCGGCGGCGGCTCTCCCCACCGGCTCTGCGTGCGGAAGAGTTTGCCGCGCGAGCAGCCGGCCTCCCGCAGGAGCCGAGGGACCCGCGCGGCGGCGGCCGGGAAGCAGCGGCCGCGTAGCTCGGAGACCCGCAGCCGCGGTGGCGGCGGCGGCGCCGGCGGCGGCGGCGGCGGCAGCGAGAACAGCGCCTCCCGCCGCCGCCCGGGAGGAGCTCGCCGCGCCCGCTC